AAAGATTTTATTTGGGCTAAACCTTTATGTAAAGAATTTATTTGGGCTAAACCTTTGTGTAAAGATTTTATTTGGGCTAAACCTTTATGTAAAGATTTTATTTGGGCTAAACCTTTGCATTGTGTGAATTGAAACCCTAATAGCAATACTTTTTGACTTACCCTTGTATTTAGTCAGCTGTGTGCTATCTAAGTATATATGACATACATTGTAATCAGATCTTTCCTTATCGCAAAGACAATGCTAGATACAAATAGGAGAAGTAACTAAACACTAGGAGGGAAATGATGACATGGGACAATACTTAGTATAATTTGAAGACTTCATTGCAGAAAGCCTTTGCAACTATTTTTATTCTGCTTATCTTTTGCATTTCATTTGCCATGTTAAAAAAAGATACCTCAATTTCATAAAATGCTAAGAATATAAAAAATTTACTAAACTCATAAAGTTAAAAAAAATTTTAACTGATTGGTTAAATTAAAATTTTTGTTTTTTAGAATATATTTTCAGAATTTATCACTATTGAAATGTTATTCCATGGCAAAGCTTTAGAGGTCTACACTGCTGCCTACCAAAATATACAAAAGATTGATGAGGAAGAAGATTTGCAGGTAGGATTGTTTGTTTCAGCTCAATTTTTCTATTACAATGGAAATGTTTAAAAGCTAGCACTAGTTTGTATGGGTGAAAACCTGAAATCAGAATGCTGCTGCTGTTTTGTGTGGTCCTGAGTAGCTAAACTCTTAATGATTTTCTATTTATATCTAACTTTTCACATTAACCATGATGAAATTTCAAGTTAATTTATTAATAGATAATAAAATGGAATTTACATAAAGCCATTATGTAAATAGTTGCTCAGTTTGACTAGCGATGTAAGCTCACTAAAATGTGTTAACTTGATCATTTGTGCCATGCACCATGCCCAAAGCTTTACCGTGTTCTCAGTCAGCATCCACACAATGCTGTTGACTTGTCATTAATGTCGTCAAGTCTGTTCCAACTCACAGTGACCCTGTATAAGTTTCCCAAGAAACAAATGGTAAGTTCGAACTGCTGACTTTGTGGTTAACAGTCAGCCTAACAGCCGTTGAGTCAATTCCTTCTCATAATGACTCTAAATAGGGTTTCCAAGGAGTGGCTAATGAGTTTCAACTGCCGACTCTGCAGTTAGCAGTTCAGAGCTTATGCTACAGCACCATGCCAGGACTCCCAAAACAGACTTCTTGTCGTTAAGTGCTGTGGAATCGGTTCCAGTTCATAGCATCGGGTTTCCAAGGAGTGGCTGGTGAGTTTGAACCACTGACCTTGTAGTTCAAACCAATCTTGTGGACCAGTGCATTATCTTGCATTGCCCCATCAGAACTCCAAAAAAACAGACTTACAGGCTTTAAATAACTTGTTCATGGTCACTTTAATCAAAGAATCGAGATTCTAAAAGGTTTTGTGTGGCTTCATCACTGTGAAATAAATGTAAACTTACATAGGGAGCTTTAGTTAAATGCAGATCATTCTGACTGACTACTAATATTAGAGAAATTCAATATTATATAAGCTTCAGTAAACAAATTCAAGGAGTATATGCCCTATCCTCTTAACCTTCTAAGAATAAATTAGACACAAGAGTAGTTTTGTGTCCAGGAATGCAGGACAGTTTGTCCATATTATCTCTATAGACGTGCAAATGACCATTTGTTTTCCAAAGATAACTAGAATTTTGTATTAACAAATGAGAGAATTGTCTGCCATTTTGACAATCTAAAGATTCCCTGCTGCCTACCAAAATATACAAAACTAATTTTAATGAACTTAATGAAAATATCCATAAACAGATCCTCTGGCCCTTTTCATTATTCCACTTCTCTGCTGGCTCCAGGAAACTTAATTCTGAAACCCAGAAAATAGCTTGACTAAATTCAAGGTGCTTCTTGTATGTGTATGTATGCTTCCAGTGCCACTTAGTTTTCTGTTAATTACGCTGCATTGTCACATGTGTATTTACTGTGCTTGTCAAACAGACAACTTCCTAAGAGTCTCTCCCTTCCAGTACTGAAGCTAAGGTTTCTTAATTTTTTACTCCTTTTTGCGTCCTATTTTTAAATAGCTAAACTTTTATCTATCATTTATGAAATAGAAAATGTTTATGTAGTTCTTACTTTGGACCAGTGATCAATCTAAACATTTTAACTATGGTGGTGGTGGCTCACACTCATACCGACCCTGAATACGGTTTTCAAGGCTGTAAATCTCTTTGGAGCTGCTAGTAGATTCGAACTACTGACCTTGCAGTTAGCAGCCCACTCACTATGTTACCAGGACTCCTTCATTTTCACTACAGCAGTGGTAGTAGTATGCCCTTGATTCAGTTTCTACTCATAGCAACCCTGTATATTGTTTCCAAGGCCATCAATCTTTATGGAAACAGAAAGCCTTATCTTTCTCCTGCTGAGCAACAGGTATATTTCAAACTACTGGCCTTGCAATTAGCAACCCAACTTGTAACCTGCTCCACTACCAGGGCTCCTTGATTGTAATTGCTGTGGCACTGTAGGACAAGCGCTGCACCACAAGATCAATGGTTCAAACTCAGCAGGTACTCCTAGGAAACCCTGTACTGGGTTGCAACCAACTGTACAGCAGTTAACACCAAATACATTTAACCTTCCCATCAAAGTACTTATTGTCCTCATTTCTAAGAATGAGAATGAAGCACAGTGAGGTTAAGAAACATTCCCAGGGAGGTAAGTATGTAGCAGAACTGGGAGCCAAACCCAGAAGTCTGACCATAGATAACCCTTTCTATATCATACTGCCAGAAGCATTGATGTTGTTGTTACTGTGTACCGTGGAGTCAGTAGTTCTGACTCAGCGCAATGCTTTATAGGCTGGTGGGTTTGAACTGCTGACCTTGTATCCAGTTAGCAATCCAGTGCCACACCAGGACTCACTGTAAGTGGTGGTGGTGGTGGTGGTGGTAGTGTGTCGTGGAATCGGTTCTAACCCATAGCGACCCTGTATAGCCTTTCTGAGGCTGTAAATCTTTACAGGAGCTGAAAGCCTCATCTTTCTCCTATGGAACAGCTGGTAGTTTTGAACTGCTGACCTTCAGGTTAGCAGCCCAGTTCATAACCACTACTCTACCAGAGCTCCTTCACTGGAAGTATGGTTCACCTTTAAAAACATTTCTATTCCTTTTCTATTACCGTTGATTTACCATTGGTTAGCTGATAATAAAAGTTCCTTCAAGCCCTTCCTTTGGTTTCCAAGTGTCCCTTCTCATTGCAGTTGTCTTGGATAGCCTTTGCCACAACACTTCTTTTAACATCTCTTACAATTGCTCTTAATCAACTAGCTAGATAGCTTGATGGAGATCCCTTAAAAACTTGAGGTTTCAGGGCTGTGCGGTTGATGTGTTTTATAATATCAATTTCCTCATGGGTAATATTGAGCAAGTTTTCTTCTTCACACTTCAGCTCCCTCTTCTCTGAAACAGAGATACCTACAGGACTTGCCTCATAAAATGCTCGTTAAGCTGTTATTTGACTAGTACCATAAAGGAAAAAATATATGCTGTGAGTGTATATGGTGGTGGTTCCAAATACTAGAGAATCAAGGAGTAATTTGACTAGAAGTTCAAAGGGTGGGTAGGAGAACGGTCAGCAAAATCTTTGTATCACGTTGTGAATAAGGAACAATGTGTAGAAATCAATTAACATACTAATGCAGTACGCTAAACAAGTGTTCAATAAACGTTAGGCATGAACTACTACCATTAATGCCATACAACAGTCGGACAGCATCCAACAAGAGAGGAGAGCAGTCTAGAAAGAATTATGGAACCTGGGGAAGTAAACTTTATCAAACCGGTATCAGGGAGTTTGGACTGCTGACCTTGTAGCTGTGTTTCTGTTAAGTGTCCTTGAGTCAGTTGCGACTCATAGCGACTCTATAGAGTTTACAAGGAGCTGCTGGGGAGACCAACCTCATCCAGTGCCTTATACCACAGCGCCACACCAGGACTCTGATCATGTGGTTGGCAGTAAATAAACAGTTGGTTAATAATAAGAAAAACACAGAAAGGAACAGAGAAATAACTTGCTCATCTTCTAGCTAGTCCATGCTTTATGAGAAACAGCTGAGACCTATTCAGAAAGTAGCTCATTCTTGGCAGTTGGGTACTCTACAGTTATGTCATAAACCATCAAAAAATATTGTCAGGCCCATTTTTCCTTCAAACGATGACCTCTCTGCAGTCACTTCAAAGTTTGTTGAGATCTGACACTTAATCCTAGAAGAGATCTTGGATCATGTTGTAAAATACACTATTACCAGTAAATTAATATTCTTGTAAATGTATTACATTTTGCAGAAACATGTTAAATATTTTAACTGGTTTAGATTTTTATCCCAAGGGTGTAGATTATCTTCCATTTTCCACTTTTAACTTAATTTTTGCTGTTGTTAAGTGTCATCAAGTAAGTTCTCACTCATAGCAACACTGTATAAGGTTTCCAAGGAGCGGCTGGCGGGTTTGAACTGCAGACTAGTGCTTAATCCTACAGCACACCAAGAGTCTGATCTTTTGCTTTTGCTGGAAGAGTTTAAAAAGGAATGTATGAGTTGGAATCAACTCAGTGGCAATGGGTTCTGACCAAAATAATAGTTAATTAGATTGAGTCATCTTGTTTTTCTGACACATCAGGATGATTAATTGCTCTAAACATAAGACTCATCTCTTTAGATAATGTTTCATCCTTTGAATCTTTCGGTGTCCTGTAGTTTCTCTGAAGTTTAAACATACAGAAAGATTCCCAAGTTTGAGTATCCTTTTCTTCCCCACACTTGGGGATTAAGTTCATGTTAGCATTATTTATTTAATTCTATTTGCCAGGTTTTTGTCTTAAACTAAAAGGAACTGCAAAGATAATAGAGGGAGTCCCCTCAGAGCAAACCTCCTTCCAAGACAAAGACTCAGTGGGAATACACGAGCAGACATGCGCTCTGACTGCGACCACGTTGGTCACCAATAAGGGGAAGTGAGAGAAAAACAGCTGTGAAGCTGCAAGCTAAGCGCTGCCACATCAATAGACTCCTGTGAACCCAGGTGGAGATCTAGTTGGCCAGCAGTATGGCAAGACCTGGGGATACCTGGGCCCAGAGTCAGTGACATAGCCACAGAGGACTAGAATGGAGAGTGAAGCGTCCAGCTGATAAGTAAAGAGGGCATATGCACAAGAACACCCACACTTGCAGATAATACCCACTTGACCTGGCTTTAATGGCTGGATGATCAGAACTCAACTAGAAGAAGAGGAAAAAAAGAGTAATCTGATACAATTTGATTAACTTGACGTATACCTATGGATGCAGTAGCTCAAAAGAGGGAACACATCTTTACAGTGAGGATCATTCTCACCCCCTCAATACACAGGGTAACCAGGGATGGGCAAGTTGGACATTGGCTACCCAAAATAGGGGGGCTACAAAGGCAAGAAGCGAGTGGCTTACAAGCTTTCAAGAGGGAACCTAAATCCAGAGGGCGTGGAGGAAGGTAGAATCTCCACTGAGAAGTATCCAATCTGTCTGGGTGGGGGTGATGAAACGAGATGGGGATAGCACTCATGTGGTACAATAGTGAATAATTGTTATCAGGACTGTGAGGGTTGGAAATGTAAAGGTGGACGTTTTGTAGCAAAAGGAGGGGAGTGATTGACTTTACAATCCAGGAGCAGAGGTTCCTGGGACCATCAAGGGAGAAGAACGGAGTGCGGGACCTTACCCTGAGAAACAGTGATGCCAGAGATGGAGGCAGAGACGATGATGTGGAGAGATGGAGCCGCTGGGGACTGTAGACCCAGAGAGGGAGAGGGGCTGTGTGCTGACAACCAGGGTGCAGACTTGCAGGGTGTACCCTTTAGCTGGTTGATGATCCATGGAGGGGATTTAAACCATGGCAATGAAATGATATACCATAGGATGAATGTAAAGCTAACTTCTCCCTTGTAAACTAGCACATAATTCACAATAAAACATTTCTTAAAAGATAAAAGAGGGATCTTTGCTAGAGGTATTTAGCTCAAGATGTAGAGACCAGTTGTATACAAAATAGTGAGATAAAAGCTGTACTGAGCATATGAATGGTAGGACATACTGAGTGAAGAGAACAGGAGGAAACGGAAGAAAGATGACATGTGATTTGACTCTTGAACAATGAGTGAGTTTGCTGGAATTTCAGGCTGAGGAACCAGTACTGCAAGGAATAAATAACATTATTTCTGCATGCTAACTCCAGAGGCTATAGTGCTTGGTAGTTTGGGGCGATTTTATGTAATCCAAAGCATTTGGACTCTGGGTAGTCAGGAGCCACAAAAAGTTTGTGAATAAAGAAATAATCAGAATTTGGTCTTAATAAAGATAAGCTGTAAAGGTGTGTGAAGTCAAAAAAATCAAAAGCACAAATACCAGGTAAGAAATTTAGGTAGAATGCCCAGGTTACTAGCTTGTCTTCTGTTGTTAAGTGCCGTCAAGTCATTTTCAACTTGTAGCAACACTGTGTAGGGTTTCCAAGGAGTGACTAGAAACCAGCAGCCTTGTGGTTCAAACCGACCTTGCGGTCCAGTGCTTATCGTACACCATTGCCACACCAGGACTCCAACTTGGTGTTCTAGTGCTCGGTAATGTCTGTAATTATGAATCTAGAAGTGGACTATTGAGAATGATTGCCACTAGAATATATGACTGTTGGTCCATACGATAAGCACTGGACTGTGAACAACATGATCCGTGGTTCAAGCCTACCAGCCACTGTGCAAGAAAGATGAGACTTTCTGTTACTGTAAATACTTAAAGACTCAGACACCCTATATAGAGTTGCTATGATTTGGGACTGGACAGAGCTTAACATTTAAATTAAGTAAAAATTCAGTTCCTCTATCACATGAACCACATTTTAAGTGCTTAGTAGCCACATGTGTCCAGTGCAGAATATTAAATATTTCCATCATCTCAGTAAGTTCTAGTGGACATTACTGGTCTAGGAGAGCAGAAGATGGTTTGAAAGATGAACATGGTTTTCAGGAAAGAGTATATGAAAGGTTGGTAGGAGGCTAGCCATTTAGCATAGTATATAGGTAAAATCTTTCAAAGGAACACATCTTAAAAAAAATAGAAAGGCCCAAGGGAAACTGTTTAAAAGCACTCAAGGTGTAAGAAATGTGAAGAAATAGGTATGCTAGCACAATGAGAGTTTAGGAGGGCATGGAAAACACATTTCAAGGACAGAGTCAGTGAAGATGAATAAGACTGGTGATAAAAGCAAGACTGATGAGTGAATGGAGACAATAAAATATTTAGACCTTTTTAAAGGAATAATATACTTTGAAATAATTTTAAAAATAGATCTTGAACTTGTTTGTAGATTAGGAGGAGGAACTTTTATTTAAAAAAGCTTTTGTTTGTTGGCTTGAAGTTTTGAATAAAGGAAAAATGCTTCTTGGAAAGGATCTGAATGACATTTGCTTTAAAAAAAAAAAAAAGGATTGGATGAGGTGAAGAGTAGGAATAAAGGAGGGAAGTAATTAATACATACCTGATAACCTCACCTATTGCTTTATTTCTACATAGAGAAATTGGGGGGGGGGGAGAAGTGATCAGAGCGATTAACTACGCTTTAAAGAACAAGAACTAACAAGCCATGGCATTTCAGATTCTAGATGAGGTCGGAGTCCGTAAATTACAGTAGCACCAATTTCCTGTAATGTGATTTAATAAGAGGTGAGGGATGGCAGAACAGAAAATCAAAAGCATGAGTTGTAACTTCCCCACTAGTTTGCAGATTCTTTCAGTGTACGAACACTCCTATTTGCCTTTGGGTTTTTCTTGGTAAAAGCACTCAAGTGTTCATTTAAATGACTTAATTTACTATTTACTGGCTTCATCATCTTACATGGTCCAAACAGAATTTTATTTTTTTAGCTTTCATCTTTCCAAGTTAAATTATTTTTATATTTTTTGTTTTTCCTTTAGATTTACAATAAATAATTGAATATTTGTCCATCTTGGGGCGGGCTGTTCTGAAAAACTGTAACTAAAAGGAAATTTGGCTTTCTAGATAACTGTTGTTTAGTATCTATTTTATGAATAATGTTGTTTTATCATTGATACAGGTTTTCCGAAACTCTCTGTATCCACCAGATTATTCATCTCGTTTAGATATTGTAAGAGCAAATTCAAAGTCGCCTCTTCCGAGATCGCTGTCAGCTAAATGTGTGTCTGGAACAGGACAGGTGAGCTAGAAACAATGATTGGAGTGCTTGCCTTTGAATTGTTCAGTACAAAAAATGTTTCCCTTTGGCCTTATCGTCTCATAACTTGATCCTCTCTGGGCCTATTTTCTCTTAAAATATGAAGATAGTGCTAAGCACAGCTCTAATAACATATTATTTCTTACGTTAACTATTATTTGTGTATAATCACATATTACTCTCCAAAGCAGAACACTTGAAAACAGAGGTAGAAAGGACAGGAGAATGCTAGATTATTCTCTGGTACTCATATAATAAAAATAGCACAGATTTCTGAAGTCAGATGGCTTAGGTTTAAATCTTACTATCATGACTTACTGCTTTCCCCAAAGCCCTACCTAAGAGAGGCTTTTGCTGACCATTTCCAAGGCCAAAAAGCAAAAATCTTTAGAAGGAAATCCAACTTTCTCATTTTTCTATATCCAGAAAGCTTGATTTCTAGAGCAGGGTAGGCCTAGGGACTACAGTAGGTATTTTGTGGTCTATATCACAATTAAGAGCAGCCATAGACAACACATAGTCAGTATGGTTGTGCTCCAATAAAACTATTTACAAAAATTAAAGGCATGCTTGTGCTTGATTTGGTTCAAGTGCTATAGCTTGCTAACTTTTGATTTAGAGAACTGTACCCTTTTCTTATTGTTGTTGTTAGGTGTCGTTTCAATTTTTGACTCATACCGACTCTGTGAGACAGAGTAGAACTGCCCCACACAGTTTTTTTGGGTGTAATCATTAATGGGGAGTCCTGGTGTGGCTCCATAGGTTAAGCACTCAAACTCAAGGTCGTTTTAAGCCACAGGGTTCTTGGAAACCCTATATAGGGTTGCTGAGTGGGAATCAACTCAGCAGCACTTAACAATAACAATAGTCTTTATTGAGGAGAACACCAGGTCTTTCTACGAAGCACTTACCTGCTAGGTTTTAGCTTGACAACCTTTTGGTTAGCATCCAAGCTTTTCCTATCTACCTTTAAAATGTGCAAATTAAGCAAAATAAGACTTTCAGGGTAAATTTAACCCAGTACCTTCTTGATTCTTTTTAAGCATATATTTACTGCTTTATGTATGCATCTCGTCCCTTAACCAAATTTTATTTCTATTCCAACATAAATGCCTTGCATAAAAACACCATAAATTTATAATATATAGTGGTTGTAACATTTTGACTATTTAAAACTAGTAATGTTACTTGGCATCCTGGTGTGGCACTGTAGGATAAGCACTGGACTGCTAATCAAAAGGTTGGTGGTTCAAGCCTGCCAGCTTCTCCTTGAAAACCCTATATAGGGCCACTATGAGTCAGAACCTACTCATGGCACTTAACAACAAAGTTACCTAGGCATACTGGTGTGGCAATGTAGGATAAGCCCTGGACTACTTACTAAAAGGTTGGTGGTTCAAATCCATCAACCGCTCCTCAGAAACACTATACAGGGTCACTATGTGTTGGAACTGAACAATGTTGCTAAACACATCCCTGGTGGTGCAGTGACTAAGCATTTCTCAGCTAACTTCAATCTTGGTGGTTTGAAAACCTCAGTAAGTCTTTGGAGGAGAAAAAGATGTAGCTCTGCTTCTGTGCAGGTTTGGAAACCCTATAGGGTTTCTACAAGAGCTATCATACATATTATAAAATTAACAGCGTTCTTTACCTCCATACAGAAAATGCCAGTAGCACATACACACCACCCCCAGTTATGACAAACCACAATATTTCCAAACATTACCTAATGTCCTTTGAGCATGATAATTACTTTCAGAAATTTTAAGAGGACCCAAGAGGCAACAGTCAACACTTACAAGGCAAGTAGTAGATTCAGATCCTCACTCAACTCATTCCACTTGTGTGCACTATTTTTAAAATCAGTTATTTCTCACTGCTTAGTTGAAATATCATTGCCTTCCCAACCCTTTGAAGATTCTCAAATACTTTTTTTAATATTTAAAAATTGTTTAAAGTATTTTTGACATAATATGAAGAGCTTATACTTTTCTCTGAAACAAAGTATATTATTGAAGCACTAGTGACTGCCCAACTGGAATCAAATGGTTAATATTTAACATTTTTCTCATAAAAACATAAATGAAAAACCTTGTTCAATATAAAAATTAATGATCTTTATGGATTTTCACCACTAAAAATTACTACGTATTTCCATTTTTATGGAAGATTTTATTCTGTTTTACTGTGGCCACTATCACTGTTATCCAGTCCAGTCAACTCCAACTCTTAGTGAGCCTATAGAAGAGTAGACCTGTTCATCTTGGTTTCCAAATCTGTAAATCTTTTTGAGAACAGACTGCTTTCATCTTTCTCCCCAGGAGTGGCTACTGTCAAACTTTTGGTTAGCAGGCCACCAGGACTCCTACTTTCCTTTAAGGATGTGTGAAACAAGACAGAGCAGTGGACTTCCCACCCCACTGAGCAAATAAAGCTGTGTGACTATGAGCAGGAAGGTTGCTTGTCAAGTGGGGTACCTCCAAGGCACTTAAGTAGGGATGCTGACCCATGGAAGCCAAGTGCCTTCAGGCTAAGATTTATGGTGAAATGCTATCCTGTGGACATTTTATCAGCAGCTGACTGTGGAACAGCTGTGCCCCGGGCATTTCTGACACTGAATTGTAATCTGTTAACTACCCTGTCAAATCCCTTAACTGTGAGGATGGTCTCTTGAGTCCTGTGTGGCCATTGCAATGGATGATCAAACCCAACTCAGGTTGTGAGAGAATCGTCAGTGCTTCATATTGTTGCAACAAAGCATATGGAAATATTTTTGCTTTCTTTTTTTAAAACAGGTATCTACCTGTCGAATAAAAAAGGATCAACAAACAGATGATGAAGATGATGAAGAGCTAGACAGTACAGAAGAAAATTAATTTTCATAAATAAACTTTGAGCTTCTACTTTCATCTTAAGTGATTTAAAATCTTAATTTACTAATTGTAAAACTTTATACTAGCCTGATATATTAAACCTCGAAATGCTACTGAAAGTGTGAAAATAATTCAAGAACATTTATGCTGACCAAATTGAAGGTTTTAAAAAATAACTATATACTAGTCATTTCAATGTCCTACCTAGTGGTGATTTTTTTTTTCTGTTAAGTTCCATTTTATCTTAAGACTATGTATTTCAAAGTTATTTCATATTAATGTGTAATACCCAGTAGGTAAGTGGGTGACAAACACCAAAAGATCTAAAAATTCAACCTCGCTTCTTTCAGTTTAGGACGCCCTCTTTCATCACTAGAAAAACCTTCTGTATAGTCATTTTGGTTAAATAGTCTATTCAGGTCTGTTAAGTCTTAAAAACAGATGTCTGCCCAGAGTCAATGACATAACCACAGAGAACTAGAGTGGAGAGTGAAGCGTCCAGCTGATAAGAGAGGGCATATGTATAAGAACACCCACACTTGCAGATAATACCCACTTGACCTGGGTTCAATGATTGATCAGAGCTCAATTAGAAGAGGAAAAAGATTTATCTGATATAATTTGATGAACTTGACCTACACTTATGGATGCAGTAGCTCAAAAGAAGGAACAAATCTTTACAGCAAGGATCATTCCCACCCCCTCCATACACAGAGTAGACAGGGATGGGCCACTTGGACATTGGCTACCCAAAGTGGGGCCTACAAAGGCAAGAAGTGACTGGCTTACAAGCTTTCAAAAGGGAACCTAGATCCAGAGGGCGTGGAGGAAGATAGAATCTCCACTGAGTAGTATCCAATCTGTCTAGGCAGGATAATGAAAGGAAGTGTGGGTAGGTCTCTTGTGATACAATAGCAAGTAATTGTTATCAGGACTGATTGTGAGGGTTGGAAATGTAAAGGTGGACGTTCGATAGCAAGGAGGGAGTGATTAACTTTGCAGTCTAGGAGTGGAGGTCCTTGGGACCATCAAGAGGGAAGAGTGGAGAACGGGACCCTACTCAGAGAAGCAGTGACCAGAGGGGCTATGTGTTGATGACCAGGGGGATAGGCTTGCAGGTACGTTGATGATGCGTGGAGGGGATTGTACCCATGGCAATGAAATGATATATGAAAGATGAATGTAAAACTAATGTTTTCCCATGTAAACTATCACGTAATTCACAATAAAACATTTTTTTAAATAGTGTTGGCAGTTACACAGCATGAGAATGTAATTTAGCGTCACTGAATGTGACATTAATTTTATAGTTGTTAAGTGCTGTCGAGTCGGTTCCGACCCATAGCGACCCTGTACAGGGTTCCCAAGGGTGTAAATCTTTACGGGAGTAGAAAGCCTCATCTTTCTCCCGCAGAACAGCTGGCAGTTTCGAACTGCTGGCCTTAAGGTTCACAGCCCAATTGGTAACCACTACGCTAGGTTCAAAAAGCAGTATTTTGATGACATGTATTTTACCACAATAATAAGACCCTTAAAAAAATTTTTTTTTCAATGTTTATTAAAACCTGAAGCTTCATCATGTGACCTATAAATTTACCCTTTAACAATAGTGGAATCAGGTATCTTTAAAATGGACACCAAGGTATGAATTCTTTGTAAACACGCATAAAGCTTTTTTAAAAAGGCACATTCAACTTGATTGAAATTTTAAAACAAAACTGCTGTCAAGCTAAGAGAGTTAAGTATAGTACTGGTATATATAGTGAAATATTGGAAGGTGATAATATAATGAAATATTGCCTAAGAAAACATAAGCATGTGGATGTGCAATTCACAGTGACCCTAATTAGTTAGGATTTCCAAGGCTGTATATCTTCACAGTAACAGAAAGCCTCATCTTTCTCCTAAGGATCTACTGGTAGATTTGAACTACTGATCTTGTGGTTAGCAACCCAGCTTGTAATGCACTGTACTACCAAGGCCCCTGAACCAAGTATGCATGTCATAAATCATTAAAAATTCAATAAAAATGTGTAAGGATGATCACCTGGTAAATAAAATACAGGAAGCTTCAAAAAGTTCATGGAAAAATGAATTAAAATGTAGTGGCATTTTTCCATGTACTTTTTAAAGATTACTTGCATAGTCACTTATTGAAAGTATAAAGCAATTTACTGTCTTTCTACTGATTACATTAGGCTTAGTACACTATTTTCTTTTGTGTGTTTGAAATTGGTGATGTGCTTGCTGGTATATCAGCTAGGGGTGGAGTGGGGTAGGCAATTTTCATGGTGTGAAAAAATAAACACTTCTACTCCAGGCAATTTATACCTGATGTGTTTTAGGGTGGGAGATTACAATTTTGATATTTCAAAGTTTCCAGCCAGACATAAGATTTATGAACTTGAGACAGCTTTTCGACTATCATTATTGGTTCTGGTCTTAACAAAGCACCGTTTCCTTAGAATAATCCTAAGTGATAAAATTACTTCAGTACTTTTTTTTTTTTTTTTTGGTAAACATTAAAACAAATACCCTACATAAGATGTTAAGAAATTTGGATTGCATTTTTATCTTAAATCGGCTCATAATTGAGGATCTTGGAAGAACAGTTGGTTTCAGAATTGGTAAAAAGTTGGTTGGGCATCAGACCCCTCCTTTCCCACCCTCATAGGAATCAGCTTTGAGCTGTTAAGTCAAAGGTCAGACACCACCTCCACACCACTCTTATAGGTGAAATAAATTCCTTTATGTTGTCTTTTGCATTGGTTCTTAGGAAAAAAAGTTTGCTGTTTCCCTAGTTTTCTACTCAAAAGGGTTGGTTTGTGTGCATTTCCAAATAAAGCTGTGAACTTGGTTTGATACTTTGTGTCTGGCCCTGGACTGGCATCTGCCATGATTGGTATGCATGTCACAGTAATTGGTTAACATACCCATGCAAATGACTATACACTATGCAACAGTGACTATAGCCTATTATGTGAATGGCGCATCTGTGACCTACTAAAGTGTTAAGTTTGTGGGCCCCGCTGGAAGAGGCAGGCCATACCTTAAAAATGACAAGGAGTTATGTACATATGCAGCCAACCTCAGAGGCTTAGACAAAAAAAAAAAAACAGACAGGAAGCAGCAGAGGCAGCAAGGAACCGCTTTAAAGAGCCAGGCCCTGATGGCAGGGATGCAGACGCCTGTTCAAAGACTACAAAAGAAAAGGGTTTGCTGGCTGGCTTGCTTGCATGGCTCAAGGCTGAAAGATACCCTGCATAGAAAATGGGAGGGGTGTGCCACTCTAGGGAAGGCTTTCCAGGATTATGCCTGTATGCTTGCTTCCTGGTTCTGAGCTGCCACTTTTTTTATGTGTGGTCTGAATGTTCTCTGTGGCCTTTGCAATGAATTACTAAAACCAGCAGAGTGCCTTGGGGGAAGCCAGCTGGTGTTAGAACTGATAGGGATCCGCTGTGAGCTTTTATTATCTCCTCCTGAAATTAGATAGGTACCATAATAAATACTTCATAGTATTTAAGGCAGTTCAATTAAGTGATAACTAATATCTGATGCAGATGAAGGTTTCAAGATTGTGTAACGTGATATAGGGACAGATCCATTGCCCTTGAAATGGTTATCGAAGTTTTTAGTTATGGGATTTGCTTTCTATACATGATGGAGACACTTTTCTAGACAAAAATGCCTGGCTTTATGGAAAACCAATATACCTCCTGTACCTGCTGTATTGGGTGGAGGAGAAACAACTGGTTATGAATTATTGAAGCCATTCTGAATATGCAAGGACTTAACACATTTTTGTTTGAAATTGGTGATGTGCTTGCTGTAAATCAGCTAGGGGTGGAGTGGGGTAGGCAGTTTCCATGGTGTAAAAAAAATAAACGCTTCTACTCCAGGCAATTAATACGGGAGAGCAGAATTTTGCAAATCAACCCATTCATTTAAAAATCATGAAACAAAGCTTGTGCTTATGTTGTTAGGTACCATCAAGTTGATTTTCTACTCATAGCAACCCCATGTGACAGTAGAACTTAACTGTTTTTTTAGGCTGTAATCTTTACCAGATGGGATCTCGAGGTCTTTCTCCTGTAGAGCTGTTGGGTATGTTTGACCACTGCACTACCAGGGCGCCTATGTTTACTGTTACTTATATGCAGGGACTTCAGTAGTTCAAGAAAAAATATTTTTCCATGCACTTAGTTTCTGCTAGTAATCTAGTCATCTCTTCCTGGTTCTCCCCTTTATGGTCAACTTTGATTTTCCTGAGCAGCTGCTCTCACGATTCTGGTTTTGTAGTTTTGTCTTGATTTTCTCCAGGAACTTTTTGAAGCCTGCCTCCTATGCTTACCACCACCCCTACTGAAATCCAATTAGGAAACAGGTTTCACCTTAACTGTTGTTTTAAGCGACTTAGCTTTATTGATATACAGTTGATAACAGTGTTCTGACATCTTCCATACATTCCTCAGGAAAGCTGATCAAATGACATTCAAAAAATTATCATTCCTTTGTATTATTTTTGTTCATTTTACTTCTGTGCTATTTCAAGTAGATTTAACATTCCATAGCTATTCTTACTAAGGCAATTTACTGAACCAAATTTAGCAGCTTATTCTGCTTAAATGCCATTGAGTTGGTTCCAACTCAGTGGCCCTTATAGCATTTTCGAGGAGCAGCTGGAGTCTGAACCACCAACCTTGTGGTTCAAACCAACCTTGTGGTCCAGTGGTGTTTATCCTATAGCACAACACACCAAGATTCCGCTTATCCTACTACTAACCAAGGATATTCAAAACATTAAATAAAATCAGATTTTTATTCTTTGTTTGCTAAAGTGTGGAGCTCACTAGATCAAGAAATGGAGGATATTAACTTTTATGTATACTGTGAAAAAGGCCAAACAAAATCAAATTGCTTGATTGTGAGCAATTTTCCATTGTGATCAGAAGCCAATATATAGTATTCAAGAGAAACCCTGAGTATATAAGAACTTTTAGTCATTTTATCCTTGATAATATTTTAGCATTTTCACTAAAATTTAAATTGACAAAATGAGGCAGCAAAAATATTAAGAATGAACTGGAGTCAGTGGTCTGTCAGAATTGAAACTGGTTCCATGATTTACTTGCTATGACTTTAAGGCATTATTACTGCTTGTTGTTGTAGCTGAGTTGGTTCCAAACGAGGAGTGGCTGGTGAACTTGAATTGAACCCTGACCTTGCAGTTCAAACCAACTTTGCAGTGCTGCACATTAACCCACAGTGCCACACCAGGACTCCATATTACTTCTCTAAATTTCATTACCCCCATCTGTGAAATGTGGTAAGTTCTATGTTTCTTATCAATATTAAGATGGATCTTATACCTGTAAAGCACTTATTATACCTAGTACAACATAATGTTGTTGAGTATAATAAAATCGGTTCCGACCCATAGCAACCCTGTATAGGGTTTCCAAGGAGCGGCTGATAAGCCTGAACCTCCAACCTTGCATTTCAAATGAACTTTGTAAGTACAGCATATTAATCCACAGCACCATCCCAGGAATAAGTACCCAATAAATATTATGGGTAGAAAATCAAATGCAGCATTTGCAAAATGTCTACACTAGACACAGAATAGCAAAGACATCAAAATCAGTCTCACAGAAAGTCTTAATTGTGTTTTATATGGATACAAATTTTAAAACAAATTGAAAACCCAATAAAACAAGTTATATAAAATGATCAATAAATCAGAAACAAAAACTACCTATTTGTCCGATTCTTCCAAGAATAAACCTGAAAGTCCCTCTGATTGCATTAGTTTTTTTTTTTTTTTTAATATTTTCATTTCACTGGTTGATGAAATGTTGAAGAAACCAAAGAACTATATACATGTGAAGTGCTGTCGAGTCGGTTCCAACTCATAGTGACACTGTACAGGATTTCTCAGCATCCATGGACTCAAGCGTGGCAACAGTAGTGAGGTAAGTCCAAGATAGGGCAGTGTTTGGTTCTGCTGTGCATAAGGTTGCTAAGAGTTGATACCAACTCGATGGCACCTAACAACAACAACATACATCTTTTCAGGAGCAAGAAGCCTCATCTTTCTCCTGTGGAGTGGGCTCGAACCGCTGACCCTGTGGTTCACAATCCAATGCTTACCATATGGAAGCCTATTACTGTTTGGTCCTTCATACCATAAATATTGTTTAATGTAGCTGTTGAAAAACTTCACACTAGCCAGTTGTAATTCTTTTCTTTTTATACAAATATAACTAATTGATTAGTCAGTTTCAATTTTTTTTATTTTTATGAAAACTGCAAAGTTATGAACATGGAAACTCTTAATTCTCCTATGCTTTTTTACACAAGTTTGTTTCAGATTCACAGTCTATTCATTTGAAGTAATATGATAGTTTAACAGAAGGCTAAACACAGTAATATCCCAAATGGGGAAGAGGACATTAAGTCTGCAGGCAGGTAGGAATGAAAATGCCAATCCTGAACTATCACTGACCATTTCTTTATACAGTTTGAGTTAAAATCATAGACTACAGAATGGAAACAAAATGATGAATATAAAATTTATCTCCCCCAAATACAATCCTACTTTTATACAAGTGTTGAGGTTTAGCCAACACATCAACAATGAACTCAAGGAATTAGTTCTCCGACTTTCTAAGAAGTATATGTAATTTTAAATGGAAAAAAAAAAAAAAGGCAATTTGCAAGCAAAAGAAAACCAAAGTAACTTTCTACTATTTACATTTATTCTATCTATTCACAGGTCAAATTAAAATGTTTCTTTAGATAATTAAAAATAAACACTTTCAATAAATGCATTTTACTGCATCAATACTGTGGGAAGGTATCTCTGAATTTAGAACTGTTCTCTAGAGCAAAATCAACTTAACTTTGCGAGGGCCAACTGGCCTATCATTTAGATCTTTAATAGCAGCCATAGCTTCATTATAGTTGATCATAGTAACAATGGCTTCCCCTATAGGCAATCCTTTCTCATTATACTGTATTGAAACGGAATCTGGTATGACTTTATAGCCATGAAAAAAGTCTAAAATTTCATTAACATTAGCTTTAAATGGAAGATTCATTATCTTAATAGGGGTTACTCTATCTGAACCACAATTTAATTTTGGATCAGGCATAAACCTCCCCTCAGGAAAACCCCCCATATTACGCTTTCCAAAATCAAACTTGCCACCTTCTGGTCGACCAAAATTCACAAAGGGGCGATGACCTCTAAAATCATCAGGTGGACTCCTAAACTCCTCACCAGGCGGTCTAAAATTATCAGCAAGTCTGGGGTCCTCCTCTAGAGCTCCCCCCCTAAGGTCCTCCTCCGGGAGCTGCCTGAAGTCCTCATCAGAAGCACACCTAAAATCTTCTTCCCGGGGGCTCCTAAAGTCCTCATCAGGCGGATGCCTAAAGTCTTCATCGGAAGGGCCCCTGAAGTCTTCATCAGGTGGATGCCTGAAATCTTCCTCTCGCGGGCGCCGGAAATGCTCCTGGTGTGGTCGCCGGAAGTGTTCCTGGTGTGGTCGCCTGAAATGTTCCTGGTGTGGCCGTCGGAAGTGCTCCTGGGGCGGCCGTCTGAAATGCTCTTGGGGCGGCCGTCTGAAATGCTCCTGGGATGGCCGCCGGAAGTGATCCTGGTGTGGCCGCCGGAAATGATCCTGGGGGGGTCTTCTGAAATGCTCTTGGGGAGACCGCCTGAAGTCTTCCTCAGGGGAATGTCTGAAATCCTCCTCAGGGCGCTGTCTGAAATCTTCCTCAGGGGGTCGCCTGAAGTCCTCCTCAGGAGGCCGTCTAAAGTCCTCATCAGGAGGTCGTCTCCAGTCCTCATCAGATGGTCGCCTAAAGTCTCCCTCAGGGGGTTGTCTCCAGTCCTCTTTGGGAGGACGCCTGAAATCCTCCTTGATTGGCCTCCTCCAGTCTTCTTCAGGAGGCCGTCTCCAGTCTTCCTCTCTGGGGTGCTTGAAGTTGTCCTCAGGAGGTCGCCTGAAGTTGTCCTCAGGTGGTCGCCTGAAGTTGTCCTCAGGAGGTCGCCTGAAGTTGTCCTCAGGAGGTCGC